TTTTTCTGGGTTTTTTCCGGGCCTTCACATCTTTAGTCTTGCTTGCTCCTTCCCCAAGAATTGATTTGGCCCTTTGAATTAAACTGAAGACACGAACCTGCCTGATCCTGAACCAGAGCCCCTTTGGTCCTTCAAGGTCAGTCTTGTCTACTCAGCCTGGCAGCCGCTGTCCAGGATTTCCAGTAAAGGTCTTTCACATCACCTGCTACCTGGTCAGATCAGATCAGAATTTTATTACAGTCGCTAGACCAGTCATATAAATATAGTTATAATATTTTTTTAAAATCTGGTCCGTTTAACTGAGCCTGCCATTGACAAGCTCCACTTTCTCCGCCCGGGCTACCGCCCTCGGTGGCCGTGGCTTGCCGTGTCCTTCGGAGAGGGAGGGTCAGCCCCGGCGTCTGGGGCGTACTAAAAGGGGGGATGAGGTGGAGAAGGAGTCTCAGGAAGACGGGACGAGGTTAACGTCACCTCGGAGGTCCCTCTTTTAGCTGCTGCGTCGGCACTTGCTTGGCAAGCCTATGGGGGGGGCAGGACTTCTGCTGCTCTCTCTCTCTCTCGCTGTCCCTTGTCTCTCCCCGGCCTCGGCTTTCGCTACTCCTCCCCGACTCCTCCACCTTCTCCGCCTTTTGTTTCCTGCCCTGCTCCCAGCGCTGACCCTCCTCCCCGGGTCACGCTCCCCTCATTAAGCCAGGATGCGCCCGACGCCGCCCCATCCACCCCGGTCAGAACAATGCCTGCCCGGGTATCCCTAGGCGTCCCCTCCCTCGCCGTGTAGGGAGGCGTGCTCTGGCTGGCGTGCTCTGGCTGGCGCTCCTCTTCGGCTCTCAGACTTGGGGCCGTGCCCATCCGAGTGGAGCCCCCTCCGTCGCAGAGGCAGCCTCCGCGCCCCCCTGCTCTCTTTGTGGTGTCGCGGGTGGCGGAGGCCTCGGCGGCGGTGTGCTCCAGCTCCTGGCAGGTGACTGGGGCGTTTCGGGGAGATCAGGGATGTGCCGGCTGTGTCCCGGGACCTCGGGACTGGGACAGCCATCTCCCGTTAAAAGGATCAGGCGGTACGGGTGGCTCATTGGTAGAGCATCTGCTTGACATGCAGAAGGTCCCAGGTTCAATTTCCGACATCTCCAATTTAAAAGGACCAGGCATTAGGTGATGTGAGAGACCTCCCTCCGCCTGAGACCCCGGAGAGAGAGCCGTCGCCTGTCTGAGTAGACAGTGGTGACCTTGGTGTGCCAAGGCTCTGATCCAGGATAAGGCTGCTTCATGTATTCACGTGACAAACTGGGGACTGGGTCGAGTGCTGTGTGAAAAATCCAGGATTACTTCCTGTGCTGTTCTTAGTTGAGTACCAACGCATGGACTAGCAAATCAGGAATTTGGGCCCAGATGAATAAGAATTAAAATGAATTATTGGATACTAGAAGGGTAAAAAATGTCTTTGGTGTGTGTGTGTGTGTGCCTGCCGTCCGAACGACGTGGTTTCAGATGCTCTAACTTGGCCTTCCCCTCGCCCCTTGTGACGTCTTCTAGGCTGAGCTCTCAAACAGGCGCCATCGGCCCATCGGCATCGGGGTGCAGGGCCTCGCGGATGCCTTCATCCTCATGAGGTTCCCTTTTGAAAGCCCGGAGGCCCAGCTGCTCAACAAGCAGATCTTTGAGACCATCTACTACGGGGCCCTGGAAGCCAGCTGCGAGCTGGCCAGAGAACACGGGCCTTACGAGACCTACGAGGGCTCCCCCGTCAGCAAAGGCGTAAGTGGCGCACGTGGGGAATGGTGTTTAAGCTGAAGTCCAGCTGGGTGGGCCTCTTGGAACCAAGCCCCTTTTGGTACCAGCCTGCTGCCCCTCTTCGCTGGGGCTCCAACTACAGGTTTCTCAAGAAGTTTCCCCCGTCCCATTTCGAAAGTTTGACTCTAATTTTGGAGCGTTGCCCCCCGCCAGGGCTCATGCATGTAAAAGCTCCATCCCTTGGTATACTGGGGTGAAGTGTTTGCTTGGGTCTGGGCTCACAAAAAGCCGTGACTGCTTTGCAACAAACTCTTGATCGGTTGTATTAGCTCCCTGCTGTGTTTCCAGTAGAGTGCAAAATAAGAACCTCAGAAGAGCCGTGCCGGATCAGACCAGGGAGGGTCCCTCTAGTCCAGCATCCCATCTCACACAGGGACCAGCCAGTTCCTCTGGAGGGCCAGCAACGGGGCAGAGAGGCCGAGGCCTTCCCCTGTTAAGAACATCAGAAGAGCCCTGCCGGGTCAGACCAGGGAGGGTCCATCCAGTCCAGCATCCCATCTCACACAGTAAGAACATAAGAACATAAGAGACGCCAATGTTGGATCAGGCCAAAGGCCGATCCAGTCCAACACTCTGTGTCACACAGTGGCCAGAAATACCAGTGCCATCAGGAGGTCCACCAGTGGGGCCAGGACATTAGAAGCCCTCCCACTGTTGGCTCCCCCAAGCACCAAGAAGACAGAGCATCACTTGCCCCAGAGCCCCTATCTATACCTTGTGGCTAATGGCCCTTTTGAAGCCGTCCATGCTTGTAGCTGCCACCCCTTCCTGTGGCAGTGGCCAGCCAGTTCCTCTGGAGGGCCAACAAAAGGGCAGAGAGACCAAGGCCTTCCCCTGATAAGAACATCAGCAGAGCCGTGCCGGATCAGAACAGGGAGGGTCCCTCTAGTCCAGCCTCCTGTCCCACACGGGCCAGCCAGTTCCTCTGGAGGGCCAACAACAGGGCAGGGAGGCCGAGGCCTTCCCCTGTTAAGAACATCAGAAGAGCCCTGCTGGGTCAGACCAGTGAGGCTCCATCTAGTCCAGCTTCCCGTCTCACGCAGTGTCCACCAGTTCCTCTGGAGGGCCACCAACATGGCAGAGAGGCCGAGGCCTTCCCCTGATAAGGACATCAGAAGAGCCCTGCCGGGTCAGACCAGGGAGGGTCCATCTAGTCCAGCATTACGTCTCACACAGGGGCCAGCCAGTTCCTCTGGAGGGCCAGCAACGGGGCAGAGTGGCCGAGGCCTTCCTCTGATAAGAACATCAGAAGAGCTGTGCCGGATCAGACCAGGGAGGGTCCCTCTAGTCCAGCATCCCATCTCACACAGTGGCCAGCCAGTTCCTCTGGAGGGCCAACTACAGGGCAGAGAGGCCGAGGCCTTCCCCTGATAAGAACGTCAGAAGAGCCCTGCTGGGTCAGACCAGGGAGGGTCCCTCTAGTCCAGCATCCTGTCTCACGCAGTGGCCAGCCAGTTCCCCTGGAGGGCCAGCAACAGGGCAGAGAGGCTGAGGCCTTCCCCTGATAAGAACATCAGAAGAGCCGTGCCGGATCAGACCAGGGAGGGTCCCTTTAGTCCAGCATCCCATCTCACACAGTGGCCAGCCAGTTCCTCTGGAGGGCCAACTACAGGGCAGAGAGGCCGAGGCCTTCCCCTGATAAGAATGTCAGAAGAGCCCTGCTGGGTCAGACGAGGGAGGGTCCCTCTAGTCCAGCATCCTGTCTCACGCAGTGGCCAGCCAGTTCCCCTGGAGGGCCAGCAACAGGGCAGAGAGGCTGAGGCCTTCCCCTGATGAGAACCTTAGAAGAGCCCTGCTGGATCAGACCAGGGACGGTCCACCTAGCCCAGCCTCCCGTCTCACGCAGTGGCCAGCCAGTTCCTCTGGAGGGCCAACTACAGGGCAGAGAGGCCGAGGCCTTCCCCTGATAAGAATGTCAGAAGAGCCCTGCTGGGTCAGACCAGGGAGGGTCCCTCTAGTCCAGCTTCCTGTCTCACGCAGTGGCCAGCCAGTTCCTCTGGTGAGCAAACAACTGGGTGTAGATGCCGAGTCCTTCCCCTAATGCTGCCTCCTGACTTTCGGATTCAGCGGACAACTGCTTCTGAATATGAAGTTTCTGCCTCCTGTGCCTCTAGATGGAAGAAGCTGGTGTGGTGCTGCAGTCAGTGTGTCGGACTAGTATCTGGGAGACCCAGGTTCAAATCACCTACCCTGCCGTGGAAACTTGCTGGTGGAAGGGGGGGACCTTGGGTCAGTCACACAGTCTCGGCCTAACCTGCCTCCCAAGGTTGCTGTGGATAAAAAATGGATGACAGGAGGGCGGCATGAACTATGCTGGGTCTCCCCTGGGCAGAAAGGCTGGGGGGAGTGAGCAGGCAAAGGCCAAGGGATCAAGAGGTCCACTTATGGAATGTACAGTTTTACTCTCTCAAAATGTTTGGAATGCTTCTCGATCTAATCATGGAACTGTTCCGCCAGACTTTTAAGTGAGATGGTGGGTGTCTGTTTATTCCATCGTTTAGTCTCCCTTACTGAAGCTTTCCATCTATTGGCCCATCTGAAAAGGTCTTATAGGCCCCATTCACACGCCGAATTTGCCGCGAGAGAGCCTGGAATTTGGGCGGATTTTCCGGGTGCAATCAGACTGCAACATCTGGCGGGCGTTTTGCACCCGTGGCATCCTGCCGAAAATGTGCAGTTAAAAAGTACTTGTTAAAAAGTACTGGAAAATGGTTTGCAGGCGCTGGGGGACGGAACTATAGCCGACGCGTCTGATCACATTCTGGCGGGTCTAACTGCGCCGCTGCAAATAGCCGCGCCTCCTCCTGTTATCTGGTCCGTGTGACCGGGGCCATAGTCTGGTTTATGGCCAGCTGCTCCAGTTTTGAGAACATCGTATTTGTAAATTGCAGCGCCATCTGTTCTCAACTCCTATTCCTTGCTTCTAAACTGTTTTAATTATTTATTTCCCGTATTGTTTTAATGGTTGTTCGAATTGCCGTCGTAATCCGCCCTGACCCTGCTTGTGGGGAGGGCCGAATATAAATCCGAAGACAAAAATAAATCTTGGAAGAAAGTTTCTCTCCTTGAGTACACACAGCAAGAAGTCCTTGCCCTGAAGGAGCCTGCCGCTCTGTGCCTCCCGCACCCCCCCAGTTCTGTGGGCTTTGCTGGGGTTTGGGGCAGGCTCCGTCGTGCTCCGCTCTGTGGACCGTTGGGTCTGACGTGCTTCGGCCTTTCCTGTGTTTTCAGATCCTTCAGTATGACATGTGGAATGTCACCCCAACGGACCTCTGGGACTGGAAGGCTCTGAAAGAGAAGATTGCCAAGTGAGTAAATCTGCCTGGTTCAGAGTCAGTGGTCGGCAGGGGTGTGGCTGGGGTACCTAGGGCAGGAAGGTGCACAGTGAGAGAGTTCCCCAAAGAACGTTTCCGTAGTGAGCCCAGGGTTTCAAAAGAGCAGCTTATTACTTGAGCCAGTGTGGTGTGGTGGCTAAGAGCGGTGGGCTCTAATCTTGAGAGAAGAAGAAAAAGAGGTGGGATTTATACCCCATGGCCCT